TGTGCATGTGTGTGTGTGTACATACATATATTATAGTGTGTGTATGGGAAATAATAACTTGATGCAATCTCCTAATTCTAATATTTTTCATATTACAAATTTGATGCCTACACTATAAAAGAAAACAATGATAGTTAGTAAAAAAAATATGGTTTCTATATTCAGAATGATTATATGCCCAAGAAGATTTTTCTTAGGTGGAATTTTTTTCAAATATATTTTGAGAGGACAGCCACCCACCATCCTCTCTTTCAGATGGGAGTCTTGAAAAGTCCCAAATTTGGGTGTCTGTCCTTGCCTCTCACCTCGTTTTTCAGGCGGGTCTCTTTGTCATCCATCACTGTGGTACTCCAGGTTAACTCTGCATGGAGCTTCCCAGAATTCTCGTGTTTTCAGCTCTCATCTTGTCACAGCACAGCTGTAGTTACAGATCCATACACATACCACCATGCCCAACTTCATGTGGGTTCTGGGGATCCGAACCTGGGTCCTTACACTACAGGGCAAGTGCTTTGCCCACTGAGCCAACTCCCTGGCCTCCACTCATTTTTAGTTCAGAATTGTATTGCTCTTTTTCAGTCTGTATGACTACTATATCTTCTGTGCTTATAGATTTTTCGTTGACATACATGGAAAATGCATACACAAACACATACACAATGAGAGAAGCAGCAAGTTAAAATGAAGGTGAAACAGAAAGAGAATACTTCTCAAGCCAAAAACAAAACAGAACAAAAAAAACAATAAAAGAAGCAGAGCTGTTGCCGCTTACATGTATGAATGTTTGAAATAGCCAGGAGAAGGGTTACTCAGAGGGAATAACATGGAATTACAGCCTAAGAAGCAAGGAAGGATTTATACTACTCTGCAGACGTGCTTTGTGCTCACAAACTATTTCTCCCTCTCGTCTCAGTACAAATCTGATTTGGTTTGGACAGCCAGGCTCTGAACTGAGAGATATTACTTCCTCAGACCCCTTACAGCTGAGTTCAGTGATTCAGTTCTGGTCAATGGTGTAGAAACAGGACGTGGGATGGGATGGGGCTGGGCTCAGGTCAGAAGTAGATCGCCTTCTGTAGCGAGGGAGTCTAGCATCCAACTTAGACCCAGGGTTAGCAAGGAAACCAACTGTCACTAGGATATAAGGAATCAACTTTCAGCTGAGTCCCTGGGAGCACTGTGGCTCCCAAATTTACTCTGAATTTCCTCCTACTGGACTATTTTCACACCAAAGAATAAGCTTTCTGCATTTCTGACGTTCTTGATATATTTACATTCTATTAAAACCTAACTGATTGAGGGTTTGGGGACAGCTCAGTCAGTAAAGATCTTGACACACAAGTTTGAGAGCCTGAGTTCAGATCTCCAAAACTTACGGAAAGCCAAGCATGGCTAAGCATGCCTACAGTTCCAGCTCTGGAAAGTAGAGGTAGGCAGACCCCAAGAGCTTGCTGGCCAGCCAGCCTAGCTGCAAAGGACAAGGTTCAGGTTCAGCAAGAGACTCTGCCTTGGGGGATAAGGTGGAAAGTTATATCGCAGGACTCTTGATATCCTTCTCCAGTCACTGCATGCATAAGCACCAGTGGGTATGCATGCATATGCAGCACACACACACACACACACACACACACACACAGAGAGAGAGAGAGAGAGAGAGAGAGAGAGAGAGAGAGAGAGAGAGACTGAGGCCCTGCCCCAGACTCACAAGATAAGAATATGCAGTGTAATAAATGTTCTTACTGCTCAATAGAAGAAACTTTAGAAATTTGGGACGCATTTGTATAAAATCTCTTTGAGAAAAATAGACTATGGCCAGCACTGAGAAGGAAGAGTAAGAGGAGGAAGAGGAGGAGGAAGAGGAAGATGAGGAGGGGGAGGAGGAGGAGGGAGAGGAGGAGGAGGAGACAACATCAGTGATTTGAATGGCCTACTAAGCAGTGTTCCCATTACCTAGATTCCTGAAAGAAAAAAAAAAAAGAAAAAAGAAAGAAAGAAAGAAAATGACACAGAAATTTGGCCTCATTTTGAAATCAGAGAGCTAAGAATATTTCCAAATGACGAGTTTCATGATAAGTACAAAGTACAAACTAGAAACAGATTGTAGGGGTTTGAGTAAGAACCTCCTAGGCTTACTTGAATGCCTAGTTACCAAGGAGTGACACCATTTGAGACAGATTTGGAGATGTGGCAGTGTTGGAATAGGTATGGCCCTGTTGGAGGAATTGTGTCACTGTGGATAGGCTTCGAGGTTTTAAAATCCCACACCAAGCCCAGTGCCTCCTCTTCCTGCTGCCTGTGGATCTGGATGTAGAATTCTCAGTTAGCTCTCCAGCACCATGTTTGCCTGAAAGCTCCATGCCATGATGATAATGGACTGAACCTCTGAACCTGTAAGCCAGCCCCAATTAAATGCTTTCTTTCATAAGAGTTTCCAAAGTCTTGTATCTCTTCACAGGAACAGAAACCCTAAGATACAAATGTAGTATTTTTATAAAAGGTTTTACATTTTAACTTTGGTACTTTTTAGTTTGTGTGTATAGACATTGCCTGCATGTGTGTCCTGGATCCTGTGAAGATCAGAAGGTGCTGGAGCCCCTTGAAAATGGTGTTACAGATGGTTATTAGCTATCTTGTAGGTGCTGGGAATTGAACCTGGGTCATCCAGAAGAGCCAGTGCTCTTAACCACTGAGCCATCTCTCCAGTCCAACTTTGGTATTTCTTAAATAAAATCCAAAATGAAGGAGACTATTCCCACATGGTGAGAAACTTCTGAATTCAGAAACAATAACCATTGTGAGCTGTTCATAACATTAGATGTTAACTATCATGGGCCATTCATAATACTAGGATGTTAACCACCGTGGGCTGTTCGTTACACTAGGGCTTTTAGTCTCATTTTTTGTTTGCACAACCTCCATATCTCCTTGGGAACCACTATTTCTCTAACAAATTCACGTATACTCCATTGCTTAGCTGAAAATGCATCCCCTTGCATCTAAAAGTAAATCTATTCTGTCACTGTAGATTTATTATCTAAATAAGTTCTTCTCTACTCTACAAAAAAGATTGCTGGTAAGAACATTTGATTATTTAAATGAACAGTTGCTTTTAATCAATTAAGTTTGGGGATAATTTTCAAATAACTCCTACAACTTTTTATGAAATAGAACTGATGTACATTATAATACCCACATCTTAATTGTACTTCTATATCAATATGATGGTCATATCTCTCACCGACTGCCTTGATAAGGGACAGTCCCATCGCCCCAGAAAGTTTCAAGAGAATGCTTTCTTGAGTAGTCACACCCCAACCTATGACACATAGGCAACCACTTTAACCATGTGCTTTTTATTCATCTACGGACAGAAAATGGAGCTGAAACATTGTTTGCTTCTTAAAGCTGATAGGCTAGCATTAGAAACCACAGGTGTCCCTGCTGCCTGCATGTGTGGAGTGACACAGGACAGTGAAGGAAGAAGATTCTGAGCCTGGGTCACTTGGCAATTCAAGGTGGTCATAATTAGCCCAAGCACAAACATTTTGTGGATTGTCGATTTGTATTCTGCCAATGAGTTTTCTTTATATGAGAAATGGGAACTTCCAGCCATGCTGTACAATACTTAACTGCCGTTGTTAATTTGGTGGAATTTAGAGTCACCTAGGAGACACACACCTCTGGGCACGTGTGTGAGGACAATGCAAGAGAAGGTTCAACTTCGGAGGGAAGACCCCACCCTGAACGTGGGTAACAGAACAGCATCCCTGCGCTGGGTCCCTAGACTGACAGCTCGAGGAGTGCCTGCTTTCATCCCTGCTTCTAGAATGTGGACACATGTGACCAGTGGCCTCATGCTCCCGCTACCCTGAGGAATTGTAATCTCAAACCATGAGCCAAATGAACCCCTTCCTTGATTGTTTTTCTTAGGTATTTTGTCTCAAGAGACTGTAACGAATGCTTCCCTCCTTGCAGTGCAAAAGAGAGAAAATATTTAGAGTGATTTGCAGTTTTAAAAAAATCTATTTTTAAAAAACAAAATGAAACACAAACCTTTGAATTATGTTAGGTGGTTATTGGGGTTGAAGTTGCACATTAGACAAGCTATAGTTTCTTTTATCCTGGTCCAATGCATTCATTCTAAAATCCTTGTCCAAAGAGATGCCTCTTGCCTCTTGCCTTCCTTAAAATATATTATTCTATCAATTTTTTTGAGTCAGTAATGATAAATCTTCTGATATGCTTTGGATATGAAAAGTTCTCTTTCAGTTCATTTGTTTTGCTTGTTTTGGTTGGTTGGTTGTTCTGGGGTTTGTTTTTTGTTTGTTGGGAGGCTTTTGGTGTTTGTTTTTCAAAACAGTATTTCTCTATGTGACTCTGGCTGTCTTAGACTCACTTTGTAGACCAGGCTGGCCTCAGATTCACAGAGATCTGCCTCTGGACAGCGTGCTGGGATTAAAGGCATTCATCACCACACCTTGAATCAGTTTGCTTTGAAGGTGTGTTCCCCAGCTAGTGGTAATTTGGGGAGGCTGTAAGGGTGTGTCTGCCTGGCAGAAGGCCATGATCAGGGCATCCCTTTGAAGGTTTCAGCCTCGCCATTATTTGAGCATCATTTTATGCTTCTCCGTCCACCATAATGGTGACAGCTTTTATGACATGCTCTGAGCTGCTCTGCCCTCAGCTACCCTGTCATGATGGACTGAATCGCTGAGCCAAAGTGAACCTTCCCTCCAGAGACTTGTTCTTGTTGGGCATTATTGTCACAGTAATGCAAAGGGAACCACTGCACCTTCCAAAGAAGGATGACAAAGGCACTTTGCGGTCTCAGTACTCTGCAATGTGGGCGACCAGCGGGAAGCACAGGTTGATCATAAGCCTAAACCACACAACTCCACACAGTATAACAGCAAGACTGACGGCCAACCTGGCAGTCCCTGGTTAGCCCTAACCAGCACAGCCTCCTCTAAGACAATTGGTTTTCTCTAACTACAGCCCATGCTCTCTGACAGCCGACAAGGTCAGAGCTCTGTTTGGGGGTGCATCTCTACATATTTGGGGGCCAGTTCTTTAATGAGGTTCACGTAGTCGTTCTTCTCCGCACACGCCCTGCACTCTTCGCCCCAGCTCTGAAGGATCTCCTTCAACTCTGCGACTCTCATCTTCCACAGGTCCACTGACGCCAAGTCCAATCTTTTCTCTGAATGCCAAAAAAGAACACACAATTGAACGACAAAACAAAAATCTCACAGAACTCTTAGGAGGGCTGACTCCATTCCCCTTCAGTGTAAGACAATTCCCCCTTCTCGTGGGGACCAAGACATACACAATGAGAATGTGATATCACCAGTCAGCCTGAGCCCTGGGTTCTATGTCCTTGAATACTACCAATCATAGACCAACGATATTCGGGGATGGAAATACTGAATTTGTGTTAAGCATATACAGAGATCTTTCTTTTTTTCTTTTTATTTCCTCTTTCTTTTTGTCATAACCCCCTAAACAACACAGCATAATGACTATCTGCTGACTGGCAAGATGGCTCAGTGGGTGAAGGCACTTGCTACCAAGTCCAAGGACCTAATTTGAATTCCCAGTGATGCCACACTCTGGAAAGGACTTTGAGGGAGCTGACTCCCACAGATTGTTTCCTGACCTTCACAAGTATGCTGTGGCAACAAATGCACTCACATGTGCATGTGCACACACACACACACACACACACACACACACTGTGCAATGGAAAACTATTTACATAACATTTACATTGTATAAAATGATGATAGCAATCTAGAGATGATTTACAGCTCAGAAGAGGATGAGTAGGGATTCTATGCAAATTTTATGGCGTTTTATATTAGGAACTTGAACACCTGAGAATTTTTGTTATCCTCAACTGTATAAAGCTACTAGGACAATTTGCCTCCAACCATTCCTCTAAAGGGCTATTTAGGCTTTAAAACAAGGGGCTGGAAGTTTTGCAGAGTTCTTAAATCTGAATCCCTGAAAGAAACTTTAATGCTTCTCCAAAGGTTGAAGACAGAAATTTACAAACAAAAGCCAGTGTGTCTTTGGCAAGGCCTTCACTGTGGCTAACTAAAAGACGTAGGTCATAACTAACCAGCAGGTTATAGTCCAGTGTTAAGAGAAAACACATCTGAAACAATGTATATGCACGTTATAGAGGCTCCATAATAAGGTGAAGAAATCAGAGCTCGAGAGTTGGCTCTGTGGTTAAGAGCATGTACTGCTCCTGCAGAGAGACCGAGTTAGTGTAGGCACCCATATCAGGTAGTTCATAACCACCTAGAACTCCAGCTCCAGGGAGTCTGACAACAAGCTGAGAAGAGTTTATAACTAGTGATATATTCAAGAGAAGTGGTTGAAGGAGAAAAATAACTTCAAATAAATGACAGCTGTTTCTTTGGTATCTTTCTAGGGGAAAATGTCATCTGGCACTAATTTTGAAAGGAAGAGTGCCATAATACTCTTAAAAGTACAAGGAAGAGATCAATATAAATATAAAAATTAGGTTATGGTTTCCAAAGGTTCCCTGATGACCAGTGTTCCCATGTAAAAATAAATATTAATTTCCTCTATAGTATCCAATACTACTTCTAATATTTAAAGAGTCATGTGAGGTAAATCCACAGCATGTACAAGTCTTCAAAACTGAATTTGATGAACGAAAGGCTCACACACAGTCGCCCCTCTGTGCACATGGTTTGTATGGACTCAGGGAATCTGAACTCTGCTCTGTTCCTTTGTAGCCTATAAAAAGGGACAAGGGACGCTTGCCCAGAAGACTACCATGGAAGTCAAGGCCTATGCTGGGCAAACTAAGACCCAGGTTGTCATTGGGACTTTTCAACCTTAAGCCTGATTCACCTCTGCTGTAGCTACAGTAGATGCACTCATTGTGAGGCTGTGGTGGGAAATAAGCCAAAATGATTCCTTAGGTCATTTACAATAATACAGTGTGTGTGTGTGTGTGTGTGTGTGTGTGTGTGTGAGAGAGAGAGAGAGAGAGAGAGAGAGAGAGAGAGAGAATAACTTATGCAGAAAGAGTCTGTCTTTGAGGGATTTCAGACGTGAAGGATAGCTGAGGGAAAATTTCCCCAGCCTTTAGTCACACTGACTTCACCTACGCAAGAGGCTGGCCCAGATACAACCTTTCAGTGTAAGAATAGGTTGAACTATGTGAAATTTATGAGGCCAAGAATACAGCATTAAATAGGACACTACCTTCCTTTCCTCACTGGTTATTTTAGGCATCTCTGATAAGCTGTCACCGGGCAAAGCCTGATTGATGGAAAAGGCCAGCTCCTAAAAGTGACAGCCAGCAGAATGGTAAACTGACTAGGAGGGAAACACAGTCACATCATGACTTCAAAGCCTGCTGCCATTGGGCAGACATAACTCGAGTCTTCGTAGTTCACTGAGAGCAGCTCCATGATTCATTTTCAAAAAAACTTCCAGACACTCATGGTTGACATCACCTAGTAAATTAGGAACTTAAACTTTAGGCTAGGGGTTCCAATTTAACGCTGATTATCCATTATTATCCAATATTTACTATTAGGTTCTTATTAGCTCATTCATTTCCCTTCCTTTATAGGAGTTCAGCTGACAGGAAAACACCAGCCCAGCAACCGATCAGTGAGCGAAGAATCCCTTCCCTCTAATGCTGGCTTTAATAACATGGCCCAGGGGTTCAAAGCTTGGTAACACATGGAATATTCTGGGAAAGACATGATGGAAAGACAGGGTCTCTCCTACCGTATTTCAGCTCACAGATCTGGCTGTCCATCTTCTTCAGCTTCTCACAAATCTTCACTGTGGGCATGTGTACACTCATGGGCCGAGTGACTTCACCTAGGATTTTGGTGGCCGAGTCTGTGGTGGCTCCTAGATAATAGCACTGAGAAGAGGATGAAATACAAGGCTGGTGAGACAATTCCAATGGCACAGGCGCCTGCCACCAAGACTGACAACTTTAGTGTGACCCCTAAGGCCCTCATGGAAGAAGGAGAGAACTGACTCCACGAAGTTGTCCTCTGACCTCACTATGCATGCCACACACATGCACATGAAATAAGTAAGTGGAATGTGATTAGGAAGACATTGTTCCTGACAATGACAAGCAAAACAGTATACAGAAGGGAGAAAGAAGTTGCCCTTGTTCTCATAGACCAGTTATTAAATTTTAACCCCATCAGGCTGAGGCACCCCAAGACTGGTGATTCTAGCTTTGTCATCAGGCTAATTAGATGTGCCTGTCTCTCATCATCATGGGGATTATCAGGTGCATCTAATTAGCCTGATGACACGGCTGGAGTCACTGGTCTTCTGGTGCCTCAGCCAGACAGAGTCCAGTGGTACACATTGACATGACCACTTTAGGCAAAAAAAAAAAAAAAATGGAAATGGACAGGTCCCTGGGGTACAGCTCAGTGACAAAACATATGCTCAGCATGAACAAGGCTATGGGTCCAATACCAAGATAGAACAAAAAAGGATTTGATTTGAAATTGTCTTTATTGACATGGAAATACTGAAAGAAGATGTCAGGCAATACAATCTTAAAAAGAAAATATAAAAGCCTCAATCATTACTTGTAAGTGGTGCTGAGGTGATTTATGGGTTCTAGTAAGTGTCTTGGTAACAGATGCACAAGCCTACCCATTCACTTAATAGTAAATCTTTGTCAGCTTTACGATTCTGTTTAAGAAAGTGTGAAATTGCTTGTGTGTGGTTTACTTAGAAAGGAAAACAGGACAACTTGCAATAAGAATCCACAGTGAATAGAAAAAGAAATGAAATGGGAAGGACATGGCTGCTCCGAGATGTGATGGAAAAGGTTTGTTGTAGATAAAAGGGAGAGCATAGCCAGGGGTAGGGACATCTGGGAGAGTCCCGAGTAGATGAAGCCCTGAGCCAGGTGATGGGGTGTTGGGCAGAGAGAAGAGAGATGGAAGCAGCCAGGAGGCCCAAAAGAGGAGGGGTAGCCAAAAAACGGCTGGATTACATAAGAAAGGATATCTGGGGGAAGGGCAACCCAGACCCTGGGCTGGAGAAGGGTGGGGCTGGGGTATGCCAGCCACGAGGACCCTATAACTGGTAGAGACTGAAGGATGCTGGGAGAACCTGGCAGCCAGGTCTGCTTTGACTTGTTAAATAGGCACCTCAGCCATAAGGATTTGAGACTTAATACATAGGATCTTGTTTTCCAGAAATGATTTCTGCTTGCCATCTAACAATGGGCATGTTTGAAGCAGGCATGGAAGGAGGAAAACGTCAACTCCAAGTGAAAAAGGAAACTATTAGGAGATTTCTTGAAGCACAACGAAAAAGAGAAAAATGAAATGTATCATACCAGGCGGTTTTCTTTTCCTTTGGCATCCAAGCAGAAGCTGAGCAGCTCTTTCTCTATGGAATCCACAGAAAAGTCTGCTCCTCTGGTCAGCAAGGAGTTGTAGAATCGGTTTAAGAATTCTCTACATACTAGAAGGAAGAGAGACTTAGGTCTGTTACACAATGCCACCTTGACCACATTTATGCCCATAACTCACCCACCAAGTGAAAACAATATAGACATGACTCAGGAGAGGTGGCAATTAAGAGCATGTGCTGCTCTTACAGAAGACCCAGGTTCAGTTCCTGGCACCTCCAGCTTACCAAGCTTAACTTCAACTCAAAGGATCTGCTACCCTCTTACAGCCTCCGTTGGCACCAGGCACACATGTGGTAAAATACATTCAGGCAAACACTTATATGCAAAAAATCAGAATAAAAAATTTAAAATATATGGATATGATTCAATGCATTATGACCATGAATTCAAACCCTAGGCATTATTTGGGGTTCTGTTCCTAAAGCTATCAATGCAGTAGACATTTAACATGAGCTTACAGAATCCACCAATCGGTCTTTAGAACCAAGTTTCACCGAAAATGAAAACATTGGTAGACCCTAAAAGCTAAGATAGCGTTTGTATGGGGTATGATCTTAGGGATACCTCTGCTTCTGGTACAGAGAAAAATCTGAGTAACGATAATACCTTAAATTAAGCTCTTTATCATGCATAAGCATTATGCCCCACCACCATGAGACTGGGCTTGGTGGAAACCTAACCTGTTGGGGTTTTTTTTAAAACCATAATTTATGTATAGCAATAGTTAAATCCTAACTTGAAGAACCATACTCAGTCTCAATTATCTTGAGCTATGAGACAGGACTCAGAATAGGCACAGCCGTGAGCAACCACCATGTTAACATTTGGCAGGAGCTGGCAGGAGCTGGCAGGAGCTGGCAGGAGCTGGCAGGAGCTGGCAGG